TTTCCTGGGTTGTGGACTTGCTGAGGAGCCTGGCCTGATGAAGCATTAGATTATTCAGGAAGGAGGGGGGCTCACGTGGGACGAGGGCGCTTCACTCATCACAGCTCCGGGGGCGAGAGCACCACAAGGGCCCAGTTCCCTTCTGTGTCTAATTTTCATTTAACAACCACATCTCAAAGAGAACTGCACACACATGTGCACGCGCACGCAATATCCAGCGTGAGCCGAGCAACAGACCCGTGTGTGTGAGTCACACACATCTCCCTATGCAGGTCTAGAGAGAGAGGTCTGCCCGATCACGTGGATGGAAAGACAGCAAGGCTTTGGACAAAGGAGCAGGAAAGTAACCATGAGGTCAACTTGTCTCGGATCAAACTACAGGACTTCCTTTTTCTGCTGCAGGATTGTTGAGTGACTACTCGGTGCCACCCTATACTTTCTCCCAGGTTGGGGAGGGGGAACCACGACTAGACCCAGACCCGACTCCCGACTCCCGGGCCACAGACTCACGGGCCTTTATCGCGAGTGCTGGCAGTCTCAGCTGATGTCAATGTTTTGTTACAATAAAAGGGGCGGCTTACTTTTTTCTAGGATCCCTAAATTATAACATAGAGGTCTTAAAAAATCACTCATCCTGGAGCCAATTTTTCCCGTTTAAAAACATTCTTTCAGGGATACCTGTGTGGCTCGGTCGGTTAAGCGCCTGACTTCAACTCAGGTCATGATCTCACGGTTCTGTTCGTGAGTTCGAGCCCCATGTCAGGCTCTGTGCTGACAGCTCAGAGCCTGGAACCCGGTTCAGATTCTGTGTCTCTCTCTCTGCCTCTCCGCCACTCGTGCTCTGCCTCTCTCTCTCTCTCTCAAAAGTAGATAAACGTTAAAAAAAATAAATAAATAAAAACATTCTTTCAGGTGAATGGATGAATCTATCGTCGAGGTCATTCTTGACCTGGTTTTATCCTCTTAGGCACATATTTCACCGTCACGGAGAAAACCAGGGGACCAGCGGACGCAGCCTGGTCGTGCGACCATCCCTCACTTAGCTCCCATCAGCCCAGTCTTACCCAGGGCGAGCTTGGCCATCTTCAAGTTGTTGGTCCAGGACTCTTTGATGGCAGGCGTGAACGTATTGAACACAGCCGTGAAGAACGTGGGCCGCCCGGACCTGCCAGGGACAGAGGAAAGGCATTCGTGTCCTGCATTGTGCCCCATCCGGGACACTGCACCCTGTCTGCCAGGCGCCATCACCAGACCATGAAGGCTGGCGTCACGGCAGGGCGGGCTCCCCGGCCGGCCAAGGAGGCCCCTGGCAGGGTCACTACTAACTTGTCCTGCTTCCCGGGAAGCTGTAACTGGAGTCTGCAGCAGTCCGCAGCCCTGATCTCCTCTTCTTTCTTCAAGATGAGCCTTTGTAAACCTGACGTCCAGTCGTGGGCTACTGACTGGTTTAGGTTCTGCCAACGAAACACATACGCGCACGCTTTACGTGCGTGAAAAAGGCGGGGCCGGCGCAAGGAGGATAGCAAGGCGGGACCAGGAAAGTTCAGAGGAGACAGTAACGCTGTTGGATTCCAAACATGAACCCGGGGCTCGGGCCGCGTGCCGGTCTGGCTCAGACATGTCTGAGAGGGAACTGCTACTCAAGGCCACGCGCAGACGGAGGACGGCGACCCTGAAATAGTCCCGCCCCACCCGAAACGGGAGAAAACACGCAGTTGGACTGGTTCTTAAAACCACCGTAATCGTCACGTCTGGTGGGACCCGGAGGCACGGCCACGGTCTGACAAGGACTCACAAGTGACAAAAGAATTCCGAGTCACGCGGCTTCGACCATTACCTGATAGTTCCCCTTGAGGTTACCGATCAGCTGAGAAATCTGACCGATGACGTTCAGGTCATGTAGGAGGTTCTGCAGATCCTGGTACAGCTGTCCCGGCCCCACGTACACCTGGTCTGCAAAACAAGCAAGCAGCACGCACCTGAAGCGCCGTCTGCACCTATGCTGGCGGGGGGAGAAAGCACTAAAATTAAGATTCCGGTCGACTTAGAATGTTTTTAAAAAGTAGGTACATGGGGCGCCTGGGTGGCGCAGTCGGTTAAGCGTCCGACTTCAGCCAGGTCACGATCTCGCGGTCCGGGAGTTCGAGCCCCGCGTCGGGCTCTGGGCTGATGGCTCGGAGCCTGGAGCCTGTTTCCGATTCTGTGTCTCCCTCTCTCTCTGCCCCTCCCCCGTTCATGCTCTGTCTCTCTCTGTCCCAAAAATAAATAAACGTTGAAAAAAAAAAAATTAAAAAAAAAAAAAAAAAAGTAGGTACTTCCAAGCACTTGGTGGTTTTTCCTTTTCTAAGTTTTAACTGTGGAATGATTTCAGACATAAGAAAGACGCACAGAGGTCCCCTGCGTACGCCCTTCGCCCTGCGTCCCGGGACGCCGCGATCTCATGGAGCCACGCAGACACAGCACTGCTAAGTAACCTGAAGCCTCCCCACTCACGTCATCTCGGTGCGCGGTCCCACGCGCACTTAGCTGCTGTGGTCTCCTTAACTCTCCTCCGGTGTAGGCCCGTTCCTTGGGCGTCTTTCATGACCTCAACTTTGTGACCCGAGCCAGTGAGCTGTTTCACGGAGCATTTCACGCTCTGGCTCTGACGGACGGTTTACCGCTCTGGGTGTTCTCTAAGCCTTGTTGATGTCATTGCGGTAAGCGGTGTCTACACATGGCACCGGACCCAAACCAAATTTCCCGTAACCAGGGTCATCCGACACCAGAGTGGGCTCCCCAGTGCGCTGTCTCTAATGTGAACAACAGGAACACAGACAGGACTCTCGTGTCCGGGGGAAGGGGGGGAGGGGGACAGCGTCCCTCCAGGGCCCGCCCCCCCGCTGCCCTGGACTCAGGGCGGCCCTGCAGGTCACAGGATGCAGTTCCAAGTATTCTGTCACTTCCCCCCACGGTCACACAGGCAGGATTCGCACACAGAACCACACTCACACCCCCACACTTCGAAGGACGTGCAGTGGTAGCCACACTTCTCTCCCACGTCCATGGAAGTATACCGCCTCGCGTCCCCTCGACAGTAACCGGCAACAGGCAGAGCAGGAGCTCCGACCCAGGGACGAGGGGAGGCTCCGCTGGGTGAGCAAGAGGTGTCTCTCGGGGTTCATGTTTCCGCGGCACCAGCTTCGTGGCGTCAGCCCGCGAGCCAGTGGTCAGAGCTGCCCTCAGAGCTCAGCACGAGGCTGTGCCGGGTTGGGCATCGACACTCGGTAAATGAAATTGAGTACGTGTGTTGTTAGCCAAAATTATCTTAAATTACAAACGTACCGTTAGGGAAGAACAGGATGTAAAGTTGACCCATGTGACCACGGGGACGGTTTTTCAGGTGTGGCCCAGAAGAAACCAGGTCTCCTGGTTGGTTCCAGGCTCCGCTGACCGTGACTCAGAATCCTTAAGAGTTGTGAACAAGGTGCCCTGTGTTTTCATGGTGCGCGTGGCCCAGCACATGGGGCGGTGGGGGGGACAGAGATCTGAGGCAGGTTCCGAGCTGTCCGTGCAGAGCCCGCCATGGGGCCCCACAAAAATCTGCCACACTCTGGGCAGGTGCCGGTCCCGCCCGCCCTGTGTGCCCCCGAGGACGGACAAGTACAGCCATGCCGGTGACTTTCACACTCATCTTCAGGGACGGCGACGGGACGGAATCCTACACGTCGCATGCACTCCCCCACAACATGCTCAGCCTGCACCCATTTCTCCAGACGTCTGAAGACCTTCTCCTAGGGACGTGTTCAAAGAGGCGACGGTGGGTCTCCTCCAGTGAAGACCCCATCCCCTCCCCAGCCCCCATTAGCACAGTTCCCTGAAAACTGGGGGTGCCCCAGACGTGCCGGTGAACGGACGGAGGCTGTAAGGACCCTGCATGAGGAAAACCCTGGGGCGCCTGGGGGCTGAGTCGGGTAACCTTCTGACTCCTGATCTCAGCTCAGCTCACGACCTCACGGTTCATGAGTTCGAGCCCCGCGCCAGGCTCTGTGCTGACAGCGTGGAGCCTGCTCGGGATTCTCTCTCTCCCTCTCTGCCCCTCACCTGCTGGCGCACGTGAGCTCTCTCTGTCTCTCTCAAAATAAATAAATGAACGTTAAAAAAGAAAGAAAGAAAACACCTTGTCTCTGGCGACAGGTGAATTCATTCTCCTGTGAACGCACTCCCAGACAGGCTGCGGCCCCGTGCACGTAACCCCGCCGCTGGGGTGGAGGCGGCAACGGGGGCTCTAAGGTCACCAGCTCTGACTCACAGTGTCCGTGAAAACTTTTCAGTCACCCCGGAACAAAGCACGGAATTTTGCGAAATACCTTCAAGAGGCCTATTTTCTGCAACGAAGCCGTGGGGTCACAGAGGACCCAGCACGCACCCGGGGGCACCGGCCCCCAGCGCAGACGTTAGCGCCAATGAAACGTCACGGGTCGGGGAGGCAAACCCAGCGGCTCTTCTGGGGACGAGGTGTGTGTGCGGGTCCTGGGGCCCACGCACGGCGGCCACGCTGGCAGCTC